GCCAAGGCTGGGCCTGTCCAGGGCCCTGGGCCTCCGGAAGCTGCCACTCACAGGGACCTGGACACCTGGCAGGACACGCCGTGTGGGAGATGCGGCCGCCATGGTGCTGCTGTTACAGGGAAGAACCCGGCTTCTCCGAAAGAAGGGGCTTTGGCGGGGGCCACCAGGCACCTCGCACTCTGTCGCGTAGCCCTGCAGCAAGGATGGGTCCGCCTCGACTGCACGCTGCCCGCTGCCCTGGGTGTCCCGAGCACCGCTAATCGGCTTCCTCTCCGCCCCTGTGACCCTGTCCAGGGACACGTGCTCACGGCGGTGGAGTGCGGGCATCGCTTCGATTTTCTGGGGCTCAAGTCCTCGTGTGCCATCTTAGCTGGGGGACATATCCTGCCTCTTAGGGGACCCCCACCCCATACTCACCGGGAACACCAAGACTCGCGCAGACACAGAGAACCAAGACTGGGTCCTGGATCCCAAACAGGAGGTGAGAACTCGGGGTGAGCCCCCGCCCTGCTCCCCCGGCAGCTCAGGCCCTGCTGGCCCAGCACCCTGCCGGGTTGTGGTCCCGTGTGCCAAGGATGCACTATCTCTGACAGCACCCCTAATTCGGCTGGACTCTCCAGAGCCCAGCTGGGCCAGCAGGGCACCTGTCCTGGCCACCCTGGGCATAAGTGCCCACCAAGGCTCTGTTGCCTCGCTTGCCAGGGAGTTTGGGGTCCTCCAGAAGCCTCAGGAGAGCAGCGTTGGGATTTCATCCCTTCTCTCCTGGAGAGTCCTGCACGCTGGAGTGGGGTGGCCCCCAAGTCCTGGGAACTGCTGCACCTCCACCTCCTCCCTGGGGTGGGCGGGGGTGCCTGTCCCCCTACATTACAAAAGCGAGTCTTTAGGAAGTAGGAAGGTGTGCAGGATCAAAGCCAGCCCAAGCAGGCACTCCTACCAGTGCAGGAACACCCCAGGACCACGCAGCCAGCGTATCCAGAGGGCAACTGCGGGGAGCTTTCAGCACTACCCAGCTCCCCTCCCGGCCGGGCCCGCCCACACCAGCAGCCTGCCTGGAGCGCCCCCTGGCGGCAAGAGACAACTATGCGCCCCGGACGGCCGTCTGCAGAGAAAGCTCTACCGCCAGGTGCTCTGACCCCAGCCCCGACCCATCCTGCGGGAGAGGAACCTGGAAGTCAGGACTATGGGAGCCCGTTTCTCCCACACGAGTTTTCATACTCCAGCCTTTTGGTGATCAGTGGCAGTGCAGCCTCGCAGGGCCACCTACAGCCCAGCATTCGGATGCTCGTGGACAGGTGCCTGAAGGTGGGAGAAGGTCCCTGGCCTCACCTCCGTGCAGACAGGACACCATTGCCTGCGAAGGCAGCCAAGGCTTCCAGGAGTGCGCAGACCGGCTGCACTGTCGCTGGGACGGAGGTCCTCAAAGCAGAGGGCTATGGTGGGACTCACAGTTGGGTGGTTCCCAGAACGGAGCAGGTGGGCGTGAAGCATCTGGTGTTGCTCACAGAGGTCCTTCAGCCAGGATAGGCCTCCCCAGGGCCAGAGCAGCCATGGTCCCGGGAACGTGTGGTGGCGGAAACACCACAGCAGGTGGGAGCACCAACCGGCTCTCACTCCCAGCCAGCAGGCACACTGCACTGTCCCTCCCGCCGTGCCCACCACCAAGCAGAAACACTGGCAGTGGCTCCTCTGTGGGTTGATGGAAGGTCCCCTGAGCTGCCAGGAACTCAGTAGGCGTAACACAGGGCACACAGCCCTCCAAAGGGGCAGCAGGAGCAACGCCTTTGCTGGCTTGGAACTAGGCCTGCAGGCCCAGCAGTGTGCAGGTGACGCGTGGGTGGGCACTGACCTACAAGGCATGGCAACTGGGCCAGTGGCCAGTGACTGCCCAGACCTAAGTCCTGGAGAGTGGCAGGGAAGGAGAGGGCCCCCGAAGCCATCGTGGACCTGGGCTCCCGTTCCCCCAGCTCCCCACTGGATGGCAGGCTGGGACACTACGGAGCCATTCTGGGCTCCTCAGGCCACTGAAGCAGCAGAGGTTGCCGTGCAGAGCGGAGTGGACATGGCTTTTGCCACCCCATGGGGCTGGGTGAGCAGGCCTCCAGATCTCCCAGGCCTGAGAGCACCGGGGGTGGAGGTGGGGCCCTTCAGCAGTGAGGGCTGTCACCCCCCAGCCTCAGCCAGCTACCGCCCTGGCTGAGGGCAGAGGCACATGGAAGGAGAAATGAGGGACACACCACCATGGGATGGTACATATGTATTTGCATGCACTGGCAGTGTCTCACCCACACCCATGTGCCCAGCTGTTCTTTCCTGACCCCCTACTCCGTCCCCGCCTTATTTCAGGAGTGTGGATAGTGAGGAGCGTCCTAGGAGAGTCTTTAGGCCACAGGATGCCCCTGGACAGGTGTGTCTGTAGCTAAGATAGCTGGCGAGGAGTCCACATGCTCAGGTGCTGCAGCCTTCGGTCGGAGTGGGTCAACAGCTTGCGGGCGGGACAGTGGCCACGTGACATTGGGTGGGGTGCGGTGTTGCTGGGGGGCTAAGGGGAGAGGTGGGCAAGAGTGTCAACGCAGGTGGGTGCATGGGTGGGTGGTCTGCTGGTTCAGCCGCCCACCTTCCGGGCCACAGCAGCTACAGGTCTGGGCACTGCAGGCCCTCACCCTCCAGAGCTCAGGCTGATGAGAAGTGTGGCAGGTGGGAAGGAGATGCCTCAGGGAAGGCAGCTCTTCCCCCACTTTCCAGTCTCCTGCCCTGAGTTTCTGGGGCGCAGTCCCCCAGTGGGGGCTGGCCAAAGTCTAATAAGCTGAGGCTGACCAGAGGGACAGCCATGGGCCCTCCCTGTCTCCTCCTCGGTGGACAAGCCCCCCAAGAGGGGACAGAGACCCTCTTGCGCAGCATTTCAGGAAAATGAGGCTTAAAAGGGAAAACCAAAAACTTGAGAGAAGGGGAGGAAGGACGAGGAAGCAGGTAGGGGGCCTCTTGCCAATGCCCAAAGACCCCTTTCCTCTTGGGGCCGTGGCCTACGACTCCCTGGCCTGGAGGGCCGGCGACGGACATCTGGGGTCATCGCCCCCCGTTGTTGGGAGCAGCTGTGCCTGCGGGCTCCCTGGGCGGGCCGGACTGGGCCTGCAGGGTCTGCTCATACTTCTGGAGCTGAGACCAGAAACCCGGGTTGGGCTCGGCTACCGGGCGGGCGCTCTTCACCATCTGCAAAGACAGGTGAACAAAGTGCCACCCCCCGCAGCCCCGCGGCCCCGGCCCGCCCCGCCAGGAGACACCGCCCACCTGGAAGGCCTG